TGGCCCGGCCCGGCCCGCAGGCGCGGCCGGGTGCGTGCGTGGGTGCCCGGGCCGGGCCAAGTGCGGGCTCCGCGCTCCGCGTTTTGCGGCCAGCCCCGTGTCAGATGGAGCTCGGAATAACAAAGACAAGTTTGAGAGCAGCCGCCGCCGCCGCCGCAGAGCGGGCGGAGTGACGTCAGGGAACAATGCCTGTGCCAGCGGCCTCGCGCGCGCACACGCACACACTCACACACACGCACGGGGCCGCTTCCTCCTCGCTCACACGCACGGCGCGGCTCTCGGGCCCTGCTCCTTAAAGGGACACCGGCCTCCGCCTCGGGTGTCCCCGCAAGCACCGCACCACATCGCCGCTGGAGCGCTGCCCGAGCACCTGGCCCTGCGGCCGTGGAGGAAGCCGCGAGCCCGCCCGGCACAAGCGTGTCCGTCCGGGCGGCAGAAGCACGCGCCCGGTGACGCCCTCACGCGGCACGAAGGGCCGGTGCCAGAGCTCCCCCCGCACCCCGCTCCTTTCCCCCCGTGGCTCCCGGGCTGCGGGCAGACCCCGGCCCCCCTCTGGGTCTTTGTACTTGTGCGACTCCAGGCAAGTCACTCAGGCCCCACTCATGCACCTGTCCCGCTTTCGGGATGTTTGTTATGGCCCCAGAATATTTGCAGCCTCAGGGCCCCAGGCCCACCTTCTTAAAGAGGCCCCCTTGTTTTGGGTGATGGGTGACGTCAGGGGCTGTACGGAGGTGCTGAGCACCGAAGCCTGAGCCAAAGCCAAGTAAAAGCAGTAAAAAGATATGATTGTGGGGCTCCACCTCATCTGGCACCTGGAGGTTTCACAGACTTCAGTCCTGGGCTATCTGCACCTCTGAAGAGCAGAGCTGTGAGGATATTTTAGGTGTCCAAGTACAAACACCTTGGGGCAGGAACTATATTTTGTTCCCTATTTATACAGCATCCAGCACAGTGGGCTCAAGGCCTAGGACTGCTTATGTGCTCCTGTGATAAAATAATAAATGGCAGCAGTACTGTCAATAGCACCTTGATGCTTAACACCTATTAATTTTGAGGTGCCTAACTGCTTTCAAAGAGGCTTTGCAAACACTTAACTGCTTTAAAAACTTTGGGCTGACATGTTTCATGTTGATTGATCATCCCAAAACTAAAGCACTCAAAACTAGGGACGGCCACTTTTGGAAATGTAAACCTTAATCTATCTGTGCTTGTAGTTTCTTTATTTGGAAAATAAGGGTAGTAATGACAGCTTATCTCTAGAGATGGGTTGTTTTGTGGCTCAATCTCGCTTGTAACATGTTTGGAGATTCGTAATTGGAAGGTTCTGTAGAAGGGAAAAGGTAATGATTTTATTATTATAGAAGTGCAAAAATGTTGTCACTCCGGGCCTGTAAAGAGCACCATAATGTTTAATATGACAAATACTAATATCTTGAGTGGATTTTCAGTGAAAGTCTGTATGGACAAGTGTATTTTAGACATTAACTTTAGCATTGGTAACTTGACCAGGGTACTTAATTTTTATTAATTAGGATTATTTAGGTAATGTTTGTGCAACCTTTCTGACATGTGACGTACTTTATCAATATTAAGTACAGTTTTCAATAACATGGGATTTTTTTTGAATAAAACATTTTTCAATTGCCTAAAGTACAGGTGTCACTGTCTGCAAGCTCAGAGGGGTCCCTGTGATGAGATGAGGACTGCAACTATGTTCTGTTCTGGTTCTTCTGAACAGCGAGTGTGCTGGTGTTGAACAGTTACAGAATTTGAATATGAATTTTGGCCAACCCTGCCTAAGACCATCGGCCCCACCTTGTCTTACTCTTCTTTAAATATAATGATCCTTCTGCCTCTTCATTTTTACAGTACATTGTCCTTCCTTTGAGATACATAAACCCCAATAATTTTAACCAGCAGTCCAGAGATTAAAAAGATGGATACTGTTTAGTCAATGCAGCCCATAAATCATTCTGCTCCTGAGCCTGCCTTTGATGCCCATTATTAAAACGTGGGCTGAATAAACCCAGCCTTCTGAGTAACTGATGATGACATTGTACCCATGCAGTCATTTCATTATAATCACACAGATGATATGTCATTAGCATTACACCTTAATAGCAGATTAATTTGCAATTAATTTCCTTTTCTGATTAAATGATCAGCTTGCCAAGGAGTCAAAACTTTTTGTTTTACAGTATACAAAGCCAGAGGCAAGAGTTAGGTTTACCCTCTCTCTTTCTCTGTCTTTTGTAATGTTTTAGAACGATGTAGTCTTAAGGCATAGATTTTGCAGAATTAGGAAATTAAATGTCCCTCTGTGATAGAAGAATGTTTACAAGACCATATTCGGTCCTCTGTACTTGAGCATAATTTCCACTCATGTCAAAGAGGTGGAAAATGTAAATAGAAAGCTCCATTATGGATATGATATTATATATAATGTTTTAATTCCTCAGGAGTCTATCACTTTGCCACAGAACAGCTTCCTTTTAACTGCATTGTGTAGGATTTTTTTTTTTTTTTTTTTTAAATCTACCATGCCACCTTGTGCTGTGATCCTGTCATCTTTCACCGACCAAACAAATGTAGCTGGATCAGTTCAGGATTGGGAAAAATAAAGGTGTTGCAGGAAGTATGTTTGGTAATTTAGGAGGTGTCGTCATGCCCTCTCAGTCTGTACTAAATCAATCTTCCCAGTGCAGTGGTAGGTAGCACCGTGATACTAGTAGAAGTACAGTCTGAATGGATGAGACATACAACTGAGGTCCTGGCAACTTGTAGTCATTAGAGATCAGATAACACTTATTGTAAGAAGGGTGTTAACCACAGCTAACAATACTGTTAGACTGGCTAACTGAAGTCCCAGCCTATTCTCATTTGGGTAAAATAATCTCCTTTGCTTCTTCCTTAGGTTGTTGCTGGGTTAAACACCTGCCATGTTGTATCCCAGAAGTGGTTGCAGTGATCCACTTGGAAGCTGTATTTCAGAACCAGTTAGTTTCTGAAATTCTTTGGAATAAGAGACATTA